AAATCACAATTAAGGTTGATACAGGTTTGTGAGATTAAAAATACTAACAAATCACAAATAAAATTGATGCACGTTTGTGAGATTAAAAATACTTACAAATCACAATTAAAGTTGATACACGGGTGTGAGATTAAAAATACTAACAAATCACAAATAAAGTTGATACACGTGTGTGAGATTAAAAATACTAACAAATCACAAATAAAGTTGATGCACGTTTGTGAGATTAAAATACTAACAAATCACAATTTAGGTTGATACACGTTTGTAAGATTAAAATACTAACAAATAACAAATAACAATCAAAGTTGATAAGCGTTTGTAAGATTATAAATACTAACAAATCACAATTAAGGTTGATACAGGTTTGTGAGATTAAAAATACTAACAAATCACAAATAAAGTTGATGCACGTTTGTGAGATTAAAAATACTTACAAATCACAATTAAAGTTGATACACGTGTGTGAGATAATAAATACTAATAAATCACAATTAAGGTTGATACACGTTTGTAAGATTGAAATACTAACAAATAACAAATAAAGTCGATGCACGTTTGTGAGATTAAAAATACTAACAAATCACAATTAAGGTTGATACACGTTAGTGAGATTAAAAATACTAACAAATAACAAATAACAATTAAAGTTGATACACGTGTGTGAGACTATAAATAATAACAAATCACAACTAAGGTTGATACACGTTTGGAAGATTATAAATACTAACAAATAACAAATAAAGTCGATGCACGTTTGTGAGATTAAAAATACTAACAAATCACAACTAAGGTTGATACACGTGTGTGAGATTAAAAATACTAACAAATCACAAATAAAGTTGATACACGTTTGTGAGATTATAAATACTAACAAATCACAACTAAGGTTGATACACGTTTGTTAGATTAAATATACTAACAAATAACAATAAAAGTTGATACACGTGTGTGAGATTAAAAATACTAACAAATAACAAATCACAATTAAGGTTGATACACGTTTGTGAGATTAAAAACCCTAACAAATCACAAATAAAGTTGATACACGTTTGTAAGATTAAAAATGCTAACAAATAACAATAAAAGTTGATACACGTGTGTGAGACTATAAATACTAACAAATCACAATTAAAGTTGATATAGGCTTATGAGATTATAAATACTAACAAATCACAATTAAAGTTGATACAGACTTGTGTGATTAAAATATTAACAAATCACAATAAAGGTTGATACAGATTTTTGAGATTAAAATACTAACAAATCACAATTAAGGTTGATACAGGTTTGTGAAATTTAAAATAACAGGTTTGTGAGATTAGAATAATAACAAATCACAATTAAAGTTGATAACGGTTTGTGAGATAATAATACCAACAAACCTTAATTAAGGTTGATACAGGTATGTGAGATTTATGCTTACAAATCAAATCTAAAGTTATTTCATTTTCATATCATCCATCTTTATCAATTGATATTTAATAGGCTAAGGACAAGTGACGGAGAACATGTACCAATTGGAGATAAATTTCACTGGAGGCAAAATATTGGCTCTTTGTAACGATTGACATGACTCTTCTGTAACAGAAGTCATTATTTTTCAACGCATCCGCTTACAATTGACCAAAGGACCTCTTGGATCTGAAGAGAAATCTCCCTAGTCGAGTATTTCACCAGGGTGACATGCAACCCCTCCACCTTCTTCTAGGAAAGAGTATAAAGCATTTGAAGCTAGCATGAAAAAAGCCGAAGGAGAATCAGTATCACCAGCAGCCTTCACGTGAAAGAAAGTAATACAAGAGAGATTGGACGAACTGCACTATGAGTTACCAGCAGGGACATGACAATCCAAAGCACAGATAACACTTTAGTCGCTGACATTTAAACCCGTACAGGTTTCGGACTGGGGTTCCTAGGTCAGATGAGAGAGCCCAGAGACTGCATTCCACTAGCAGTAACTTAACCAACGGACCATCAAGGAAGCTATATACCTTACAGAGTAGAATCATACAAAAAGAGGCTAACACCAAACCTAATAGCGAACTCCACTGGAGCGGAATGTCCTCACCGAAGGACTATTTAGATTCAGTTCAGTTTCTTCCCTTCTGCCGTGCAAACGCACCCACAACAAATCACCGACTCATGCAGCAGTGTATTGGATAACTGCCTATGGAAGGCTGTTACAGTTACCTGGACGATGTCATCATACCTTCTACCACTTCCGCAAAACATCTAAAATACCTAGACGATGTCACCATACCTTCTACCACTTCCAGAAAACATCTAAAATACCTGGACGATGTCATCATACCTTCTACCACTTCCGTAGAACATCTGAAACCAAGCCTTCATCAAGGAAGTCTATTTTCTCTAACATAGACAGTAAGTTAGTATTAAGTACAGGCCAGGTAAGACCAATGTGACTGTAGACCCCACGTATAGACAGACTACTAAGAGTTGTTCAGAGAAGTCTATTTTCTCTAACAGAGACAGTAAGGTAGTATTAAGTACAGGCCAGTTTAGACCAATGTGACTGTAGACACCACGTATAGACAGACTACTAAGAGTTGTTCAGAGAAGTCTATTTCAGCAGTGTATCAGCTGATGCCAAGCAACACTACGTAAGTGTTTGGTTGAGTTCGGCTACACCAGCTGATATTGAGTCCTGACATCATCCATATTTAGGTGATTGGATCACCAGGATGTGTTATATAATACCTGGAACCACCTTTTTGTATACGGTTTATGACTCACTTAAAGTTGTGGGAGGAATTGTGTACAGGGAGACAGGAAACAGGAACACTGCTTGTCGTTCCTCGGGATCAGACAGATTGAACACCGCATAGTTGCCAAGACGTTAGAACCATGCAGGAATTATGTACTGGCCCTCTATAATGGCTGACTTGGAGAAGTGAGTCACTGGTTGCCTTTGATGTTTTATGAAAAGTCGCTTACAAATGACGGAGAGCAATTAGTCTCAATCGTTACGACACAGCCGGCCGAGTTGGTCAGCAAGGAATTCCGCAATCTTTTAACATTTACGCATCGAGACATTTCTTTGTGATCAGTAATTACTTGACTCGATGCACAGATACCTACCCGACCAAGATCCAATCTGAGAAAACATTGCATGTCTTCTTTTTGTCAATAATTATAGAATATATCTACGAGTTCATTCAGCCACAAAAGCCAGCTTCCAGAGCAATAATATCAAAGAACTGTGTCCGGCGATGGGAAAAGCTACATCATGGGAAATCAGAAGCCAAGATCGCCAAGGAACCACAGAAAGCTCCCGGGATATGACCACGGAACTGTGTTCACATTGGCAGTAGAGTCTTCGCACCTTGGACAAGTCGGAACGATACATGGATAACGTTCTTCGTAAAAACACCTGGATGTACCAGTATTTTTCATAAAAGTGGAGAAGGAGGACGTGCACGATGCACCGGAATGCCGTACTTCCGGTTGGATATACATTGTACACGTATTTCCGCAGTGGAAAACCGGACACCCTTTCGCAGTCCAGACGACGACAAAGGTAAATATTCACTTTCCCTCCTGTTCTCAATCGGCAAATCATAGAAAATGTCGGACAAGGTCAAACAAGCACCCATTGTCGGACAAGGTCAAACAAGCACCCATTCTTTGATTGATAGACAATCTATAGAATGGGTAAATCTCTGCTTGCATGCTACACGTACTGTCTCGGAATAGTCAACCACTTGATTGTATGCACTGTCAAGTTAATCATCGACAATGAGCGTAAATAACCAGCAAACAGTAAGACAATATTTCACCGATAAAGTACGGGACGGGAAGTTACAGTTTATACTGTTGAACTATTGCTATTATCTATGTTTTGAATTAATACGTATTGAGTGTATGCGAATCTCCCTTTATTACTTTAACACCGGAACCTTTGTGGAGGATATCTGCGGGCAGGTATATCGAAGTATACATGTAATGTGGCTCAGTTACTGAAAAATAAAACATATCTTCATCAACGTCAGCAGTGCCACTTGTAAGTACCCGTTTATTGTGACTTTAAAATAACGTTATGTAAAAAAAACGTCGTTTAGTAGTTTTGGACAGTTTCTCCAGTTAGATATAAATTTTCCTTTAAGTTTATAAAATATGGTACTTTTTAGCCAATGTATACTTTGAAACTCTTGGCTATTAAATATATGTATCAGACTGCATTCTTCAAAAATACTTTTCACATATTTTAGCCATGATGATTCATAATTTGATAAAATTGCTAACAGTTTATTACTTAATTTATTCTGGTTGTGTTTTGTCAATTTAGCACAAAATCCGACCAGTTAATAATGACTGAATACTTGTATATCACACAAGAATTACTTAAGACTTAGGATTAAAACACTATGAAGAGGAATATACATACAATGCTAATATAGCAAAGAATAAAAATTAAGGACATCAATAGTCAAATATGTTCAAATTGTCACTATAAATGGTCAGTGTATTCTAATGGACGCCGACTGGTAGGATACATATACGTTATTCTATGGTCAGAAGATGTTTTTCATGCTGAACATATTATTCTGTTTTATCTTAGGTATTTATTTTTAAGGGCCCTTGATAGTCGTGAGGCCCGTGTTCTAGCGTCCAACCTTTCTGGGGGGCGTTTTCGTAAACTTATCAAACTTCGCCATTTTCAGCAAAAAATGAATTCCCATAAATGTTACTATAATTTTGTAACACACCCTGCTCATAAAAAGTACCATGAGTACAGTAGGGTGCGTGCTTTTTTTGTCATGACTATTTTTATTGACAGAAACAAATGCCTGTGGAAAATAAAGCCAGAAAAAAAGTTTATATAAATAATAAAATGAGTTTCTGGTGTGGGAAATGAAGGTGTGGTATATTCTATTGCGGACTACCAATTTATGTCATGCTTTAAATGGTGACATTGCCAAATGAAGTCATGGAGTTACGACTCCTTAACATGCACGTTGGTAATAGGTGGCGCCACATATCATTTACATTTCCGGATTGGTGTGGATGTAAACAATACAGCATGCCAAGAATCGTAAGAAAGAAAAGTTTCGACAGAACTGTCGTCAAGAAATGTCCAAAATGTGATCAACAGGTACTTTATCGTTTCTACATCAGATTTAACGTTATGCAGAATATATATCCCTGTTTATATAACGAAATATTTAAAAGCTACAGTCGATCTCCGACACCGGTATCACAGGGGCTGAAAACAACCTGTATCGATCAGCCGATAAGGCACATAAGATACGATAAACTTATTTCCGTTTCAGGAATCATCAAGTTCCTCTATACCAGACTCATTAATAAATACACTATATAATACATCAAGCGAATAGTTACAAAACATAAAAGCAGCTCATGCATAGTTCGATTAATATTTCATTATTTGATTGTAGCTCTGTAGTTGAAGAAAAGTGTTTGATTGTTCCAATGATAGTCCAATTTATTTTTTAAAAGAGTTAACATTTGGTGCCGATAAAACAGTTTCAAGTGATTTATTCCATATTGATACAGATTTTATAGAAAAGAAGTGCTTCATTAGCCTGTTTGTTGATAGTTTTGGGTATGATGTCATTGGGTGTATCCTGCTGCTGTGCCGCTGACAGATATAGTATTACTGAATGGCAACATTCTTTATCATAAATACCATTTAACATTTTATATAGTTCTATCCTTTCTACTCTTATTCTCCTTAAGGCTAAAGTTGGTATAGTTCCAGTTTTCCAGCCTTTCACTGATGCTTGTTCTCAAATATGAAATGGATCACAACTTATAAAAGAGAACCAAGCACGTGTACAGACATTAGTAATGCATGCAATCTGTTGATCTATATGTCACAGGACATGGAAGTAATTTGATACAACAGCATCAACATATTTGTTGAGCTGGTGTTTGATGCTTACAGATTCGTTAAGCTATGTTTTTAATTGAACTGCAAAACATTGAAGAGTTTAATGTTATTTTGTTTCAGATACCAGTGGCCTGCAAACATTGTCCATGTGGTCACCAGTTCTCAAAAAAACCATCAACTCCCAGTAAGCACCATCATTATGCTTAAACCTCCTTTCTACACATTTCATATATATGTTTCAGACTGGCTTATAAGATATAATATTGCTTTGTTGCAGCTTTCAGTTTTCCCTAAAATTTGTTGAAATCAAATTAACTCAAATCATTGAAGTGGAAATTGAAGTGGCATCAAAATAAGCCAAAATTCAAATCCTTTCAATTCCTATAAGAAAATTTCAGAAAACTATATCTTTTCTTGTCAACAGCTGAAGAAGAGCAGGCAAGCTTTAAGATCCGTCGTACAGAACGGACACGGAGGGAAAGACCGGACTTCTTCAACCCAATGGTACTTGATGTCCAGGCAAAGCGTGCAAGAAAAAAGGTAAGAAATCTTTCAAACAATATTAAGATTTATATTGAAAGGTAATTATTTCCATTTCCCTAATGTTGCCCTTGAAGAATATGACTTAAAAGTGAGTATGTCACTTTCAAGTTTCATTTACTGTTTACTTTATTATAGAAGCCAATGAATTGCATATGGGTAAATTGGATGTAACAATATTATAGACTTTTTGTGAAATTCCATATCCAGACTTGAACGCATGTTCCTAATTCTAAGATAAGAGGGAAGAATTGGAAAAGGGGATTGTTGTTTTATTCTCAAGAATTTTAGAAAAAATCTAGAAAATTCCTTTCATGTTTAGATATAGCTGTTCAGTTGTGATTGGATGCTAAATTATTGCAATTTTAAAATAGTAAGTGTTGTTAAGTCTTTTTTAACTTTTACAGTCCCAGAATTCTCCTCAGGTACAAGTGGTTGAGACACCTCCTCCTCCTCCTCCTCCTCCTCCTCCTCCTGTACAAGTAGAGAAAGAAACACCTAGTCGCAAAAGGAGAGGCAGACCAAAACAAACCCCAACCAAATCTGTGTCTGAACCAGAAGAAAAACGTAAGAATCTTAACAGTATACCAGTCAGTAATTATGGGCAGTACTTCTTTTGAAAATATTCACTAGTGTAACATGATTATACCCCCCGCAACAAAGTTAAGGGGGATATACTGGAACCCTGTTGTCCGTCTGTGGATGCAATGTAGTACCCCGTACTCTTCCTAAACTACTGGATGGATTTCAATGAATTTTTTTGATAACTATCCTTGCAGCTTGGAGATGTGCTTAAAGTACTTTACATTGGATTATCTCCCCTTTTCAGGAAGTTATGGCCATTGGTTCATAAACCTTCTCTAGACCATGACATTGTATAGAAAACACATTTTTAGCCCACCATCATCTGATGGTGGGCTATTCAAATCATCCTGCATCCGTGGTCCGTCCGTTGTCCGTTGTCCGTCGTCCGTCCGTAAACAATTCTTGTTATCGGTATTTCTCAAGAAGTACCAGAGGGATCTTTCTCCAATTTCATATGCAGGTTCCCCTTGGTCCTTAGCTGTGCAGGGCAACTTTTGAGAATGATCGGATAAACAACATGGCCGACAGGCAGCCATCTTGGATTTTGATAGTGAAAGTTTGTTATCGCTATTTCTCGGGAAGTGTCAGAGAGATCTTTCTCAAATTTTTATGTAGGTTCCCCTTTGTCCTTAGCTGTGCAGGGCAGCTTTTGAGACTGATGGGATAAACAACATGGCCGACAGGCAGCAATCTTTGATTTTGATAGTGAAAGTTTGTTATCGCTATTTCTCAAGAAGTAGCCGAGGGATCTTTCTCAAATTTTTATGTAGGTTGCCCTTTGTCCTTAGCTGTGCAAGGCAGCTTTTGAGACTGATCGGATAAACGACATGGCCGACAGGCAGCCTTCTTGGATTTTGATAGTGTAAGTTTGTTATCGCTATTTCTCGGGAATTATCAGAGGGATCTTTCGCAAATATTATATGTAGGTTCCCCTTTGTCGTTAGCTGTGCAGGGCAGCTTTTGAGACTGATCAGATAAACAACATGGCCGACAGGCAGCCATCTTGGATTTTGATATTGAAAGTTTGTTATCGATATTTCTCAGGAAGTATACGAGGGATCTTTCTCAAATTTTATATGTAGGTTCCCCTTGGTCCTAGCTGTGCAGGGCAATTTTAAAGACTGATCGGATAAACGACATGGCCGACAGGCAGCCGTCTTGGATTTTGATAGTGAAAGTTTGTTATCGCTATTTCTCGGGAATTATCAGAGGGATCTTTCTCAAATATTATATGTAGGTTCCCCTTGGTCCTTAGCTGTTCGGGGCAACTTTTGACACTGATCTTTTGATGGATCTTTCTCAAATTTTATATTTCGGTTCCCCTTGGTCCTAGCTGTGCAGGGCAATTTTAAAGACTGATCGGATAAACAACATGGCCGACGGGCAGCCGTCTTGGATTTTGATAGTGAAAGTTTGTTATCGCTATTTATCAAGAAGTACCAAATGGGATCTTTCTCAAATTTTATACGTAGGTTCCCCTTGGTCCTTAGCTGTGCAGGGCAACTTTTGAAACTGATCTTTTGAGGGATCTTTCTCAAATTTTATATGTAGGTTCCCCTTGGTCCTTAGCTGTGCAGGGCAACTTTTGACACTGATCTTTTGAGGGATCTTTCTCAAATTTTATATTTCGGTTCCCCTTGGTCCTAGCTGTGCAGGGCAATTTTAGAGACTGATCGGATAAACAATATGGCCGACAGGCAGCCATCTTGGATTTTGATAGTGAAAGTTTGTTATCGCTATTTCTTGGGAAGTACGAGAGGGATCTTTCTCAAATTTTAAATGTAGGTTCCCCTTGATCCCTCATTGTGTATGTTTTATTTTGAGACTGATCATAAAAACAAAATGGATTAAAAGAAGAACTAAACAGATCTTTCTCATATTGCAATGATCGATTCTATTTCTTTCACATTAAGTACTGTACTAGTAAATATGTGAAATGACAAACTCACTTTGAAGGTTGGCTCTCATACACATCAGTATTAAGTTTAGATCAAAAGTTACCTCAAGGTGCATTTACTGTTACAATATGTAACATGACTCGATCAAACAGATTAGAGGAAAGAAGAGAAAAGATCGAACCAACAAAGAACTAATGAAGATGGTACAAAGGTGGGCGCCAAGATCCCTCTGGGATCTCTTGTTTTTTATTTGATTTCTTCCAAATTTAGTATGGTAATACAAGAAGCAATAATGTTTAACATACTTAACTGTTTTTTGTTGGGTTTCAACTTTTCGCGTTTTGAAAGGTCACAAATGAATTACATTACTGAAATGGCTAAATATCTCGTAAATGGAAGGTATTTTGTATACACATATACCTTAAAATATTGTAGGCATTAATGCAATCTACTCTACTGACAGCTTCAGAGGTCAAAGTTCAAAATTAAATAACGTTACCGAAATGGCTAATTATCTCAGAAACAGTATGTATTTTGTAGTATCATAGCCAATTATGCAGGCTATATTACGACAGAAATAGTAGGTATTTTGTATACACATACCTTGGATAAATGTAGCACTGATGCAAGTTACATTGTGACAAAATTCCGAGGTCATTGAAACATAGGTGTGTGTGTGTATTGGCCCTTAGGCGACAGTTTTAATTTAATCTGATTACATGTTAAAACAAATCAATTACAGTAAAGATTCCTTTTCCTTACTATACAGGTTACAGAGTTATGTATTAGTGAGAATTGAAATCTTCTTGCTATAATATTATTAATATATAAATCAGTTCAAATGAATTATAAATTCACATCTCTTCCAAGAGCAGGTAAACTCATACCTATAACCTTAGATCGGGAAGTCAAACTCCACCGCAAAATGCAGGTGCATGTCATGTGTTAACCACTAGTCTATTCTCCATTCCTCCAATGGTATCAATACCTAACAAAAGGCATGCGTCTGTACTTTTTCATTGTATTCCGTCAGAGGTTGAGGTCATGAAGGGGCGGCTCTTCCAATCCGACCGACTAATAGTTCATTCTCTACCGACTGTATTTATACCCACATCTTCACCATCTTGATAAGGTTTAAGTATTTGTAAAGAGGTAGACTTTTTTACTGATTAATTCATCAAAGATTTAGGTCTCTCAAGGATATAATTTTCTTTCTCATTGGCTGATAAAATTTTGATTTTTATAAAATCTTGATTATTCAAAGGTTATTGAAATGTCTTTTTCTACTTTAGCAGCACTGCCAGTAGAAGATGATGTGTTTGTCAAGCTATGTCCAGAAAAAGCCCTCCAGTTTAGTATTATCCTCTCAGATCTCAACAGGAAATTTGGCTCCCAGAACTTCCAACCTCTGTGACAGTACTAGTGGTGTGAATGTGACTATCGTGTAGAATGTGGTTAGGAACAAAAGTGTTGTATGATGTTGAAATGTAAGGATGTGTAAGTATAAATAGAAATACCAGGCATAGTTAATGGTTAAATGTTACTATTACATACAACGGGTGTGCAATTTTAGTTTATTTCATGTATATAATTATGATATGATGATATTATTATACCTTACTTGATATGAATGAAAGGTAAGATATATGGATGTGTAATAAGTTTGATACTCTAGTGGTATTTGAATAAAAGAAATTTACATTTATCAAAAATTTAAACTTTGTGTTTTTAGTTTTATGGATGTGTTGGGTAACAAACCCCAAGAATAATCTTTTTCTCAAAACAGATAATAGATTGAAATGATATGTAAACTGCACTAGAATGGTTTTAAACAATAGGGAAAATATTTTCAGTTTGCCTTGGCGATGTATATCAAATTAATATGTATTGTTAGATGCATTGTAAGGCTTATGCAAGCCTGTAGAAAATCCAAAAGTCAGTGAAAAGTCAATGAAATAGCTAGGTGTCCCAAACCTCAAAAGTTTACTTGTATGATGACATAGAAGTATTGATTAAAATTAAATTGTTTGATATCGAAAAAATGAAAGCTTCTGTAACAGGTTAAAGAAATCATTTATCAGCAGAAAGTTTTCAAAACTGCATGCTGTCCTTAAAAAGATCTTCAGATGCAGAAGCCTCTGGGTCATGGTGGACAGTTGATGGGAGGTCACTCTATCGGTATTGCTGATTTTATTGATGGGAGGTAACTCTATCAGCATTACTGATTTTATTATTGGGCTTGTCATTCATTTGGATTTACGTAGAGTGAAACCATATTAATGAAGACACCAAATGTCTATCAAAGTAATAATTCATAAAAATAATGGCATGTCAAGTTTTTGAATTTGTTCCAAAATCATTGTAAACAAGTTATATTGTAAATACTCAAATATTAGTTTTTTTTATGATTCACCATAAACAAATGAGTTTGAGTGATAAGTCATCCAAAACATATAAAAAAAAACCTGGACTTTTCACAAGAAGCCTATAGGGCCTGTTCCTCCGACGTTTTTAACCCACAATTATCAGATGATGGGCTGTTCCAATCTCACACTGTCTGCCTTAACAGTTAGTGTTACTATTATTTCTCGAGAAGTACCTGACAGGCCATTCTCACATTTCGTATGAAGGTATCCCTTGCTCTCTAGTTGTACATGCAAAGTTTAAGACTGCCGCCAGAAAGCCATCTTGTATTTTGGTAGTTCAATTTTGAATTTGCTATTTTTAAGAAGTACTGGACAGATCTTTCTGGAATTCCAAATGTAGGTTTTAGTTGCAATTGGTCTGTAGTTGTGTACGTTAAATTTTCATGCATATTTGAAAAGCAAGAAGGCTTTTTGCTATTTTTCAAGTGGTTATTTGACAGATCTTTCTGAAACTCACGTATTAATTTCTCTTGTATACATTTGAACTTTGCCAAAAGGTCAAGGAACAATATCAGTCAGTTCTTCTTGTTCTATAGTTTTAACTTATTTCGTTTGGCGATTCAAATCGTTTCATCAGAAAAAAGTAAGTCTGTCTGAAAACAGAAATCTCTCATTTTTTAATCTACATGCAAATGATGACCAAACTTTGAAAGGACACTTCCAAGCTCGGCTGTGTGAAGTCATCATGACGCATTTACAAGATTATTAATTCAATAAATGAAAGATGAAACTTATAAGAACTAATGACGATAACATTTAAAAACACCAATCCCAATGATTACTTGGTCAATGTTATTATTTGAATAAGTTTGATGGTTATTCACCACAGGAAGCGGAAAGCCTAATATGGTTACCCTGTAGGCCTCGTGGTGCATTTCAACATATTGTTTGAAGTTTGTAGCACATGTGACTCGGAGTCAAGAGACCTTAAATGTGTGTCAAGATAATTAATTTGAACAAAATTGTTAGTTGCTCATGCCTTATCAAAGTTACAGGCCAAAAACTGAAGACCTGTCACTCTCATCAAGCTCCATGGTTAATTGAAAGAAGTTTTCTCAAGATTTTATATATACATTTGGATATATATGACTGTAACCTAGAATGTGGGTCAAGGTAACACATTCCAGGCAGGAAGTTGCATATCAAATACCATGAGCAGAGGCCCTATTGTTCTTAAGATGAAGCACCACAGTATAAGCCCAAAGAATATGACAACTTTCAGTTTGAGATTTAGAAATTGTTCACTTCATTTGCTCATTCTTATCTTTAGACAAATAAAATATACGAATTAAATATGCAGACATTTTATTCATTGCAGATACAAATTTTACTTGTTGCAGACATATCACAATTGAAAAATGTTTTCAGTAACAAGCACCTGCTGGCATTATACACCACTTAACATGACAGCACTGAAGGAACAGATGTTATGTGCAGGTCATACAACTGAATCAAATCCTATAAATATATACTGATCATTAGCATTCATTAGCATTCCATTTAATATTGCTTTTTATATATAAAAGGAATTTTTAACAAAACAGCCATATCATCAGGTATATTAGTTATAAATATATAATTATTTATTTTCTAACTGATGTTGAAATCATAATTTCATTTTGCTCAAGTCTGTCTTCAAGTCCTCTTTCAAGCCCTTCAACTCCTTCTTTAACTCATCTTTGTCATCTGCATCACTTTCCTCTTCATCATCTTCATCGTCATCATCATCATCGTCGTCATCATCATCATCATCTAAAATAGAAATCACTCTAGTAGAGAAGCCTATCTCTTGAACTGTCTAGATATTTAGAAATGATTACAGTTTTAAGATTTCCTTGAATAACTTGAAGGTACAAAATATTTACAGTTATTCAGTCTTGGATAAACGACAGATATTAAATTATTTCTTGTCTTTCATGGAGTGACAACTAAAATTTATGGAATCATCATATATAAAATAAAAAATATGTCTGGCCCAAGTTTTTTAACTGGAAAGCATTCTGGTAGATGCTGGCCAGCTGTTTTATTTTTGCAGAAATATGAAAACATTTTTTTTGCGAAAACCTTTAAACAAGTAACCAAAGGTTAAGTATTTAGTTTAAATGGTGTCAAATTACCACCATCTCCATAGGAGTAGCCTGGTCCTCCCCCTCCTCCATAGGAAAACCCTGAGGCACCACCGAAGGTGAAGCCGCCATCTTCATCATCGTCGTCATCATCATCTGCACGCTGTCTCCCAAACTGGTGACGACGAGCTATTGAATTTAAAATATTACTATGGTAAGAATTATTTTCCACAGTTTTGTTTAAGATATTTTTTAGTCATGTTAAATCCACATTGAAATTGTAGATGCTAATGTGTTGGGATCGGATTTCTGCTTCTTATATTCTATTACATGTTTTTTTGAGAAACAAGTCAAATGACAGTAACTTAGGTAGACTAACAGACTGTTAACATTACTGAAACGGGTTGTGCTGACAGTGCAAGTTAAAAAGCTTTCAATTGAGTGTAAAACAAAATATTTTTTAATTGTATTTTTTTTCTTTCTGGTTTTGAGATCTTCCCTATCTCTTTCAGCTATCGTTTCTAAGGAAGTGCCGACATTTAAATTTAGTCCTTGCTTGGTAAAGAGTATGGGTCTCGTCTCATTACCCATCGAACCGGTTATCATTTGTTCAACGTGTACGCAAGGTGACACTACTATACTATATATATATAACACTTTCACAATTTCTTATCAACATTTTGTATCAGAATAGTTGAATAAAATTAAAACGGAACACATTAAAGTAAGCATTTATTTAAGAAAAGTGGAAATAGTAGTAAAATGCGACCAATTAAAATATAATGCACAATCCCTGCCCTCAAACTAGTTATAACCTCCTGTGTGAAAACAATACTAATTCCATTAATTTCCATGCGAACTGTTCAATTACCAAATTTCACAATGTTGATTGACTTCACACCTGGGAGTCACATTTCGCACGTGTTTTGCTAGTAAACCGTCTATATGACGAAGACTATCGAGTTTTGCTAGTAAACTGTCTATATGACGAGGACTATCCTGTTTTGCTAGTAAACCGTCTATTAGGCGAAGACTATTGTGTTTTGCTAGTAAACTGTCTATATGACGAGGACTATCCTGTTTTGTTAGTAAACTGTCTATACGGCGAAGACTATCCTGTTTTGCTAGTAAACTGTCTATACGACGAGGACTATCCTGTTTTGCTAGTAAACCGTCTATATGACGAAGACTATCCTGTTTTGCTAGTAAACTGTCTATACGACGAGGACTATCCTGTTTTGCTAGTAAACTGTCTACACGACGAAGACTATCCTGTTTTGCTAGTAAACCGTCTATATGACGAGGACTATCGAGTTTTGCTAGTAAACCGTCTATACGACGAAGACTATGAGTTCATAATAAAGTTTTGTGTGTTGGTGCAGTTCTATGCACGTGAAAGACCGATGATATATATGGGATTTGTAGAAGTATTTTCAGTAAAATACCTTTTATTTTGGATACACAATTTTGGAGAATGTGCCATAAGTAACAAACAGCTTGGCCGTGTTTCAAAGTCTTCAGGTGAGTGCGTTTGATTTTTGATAACGGTTGCCGATAAGGGTGCGCAAGACGGTTAGTTGTAGAATGATGACAGGTTTGACAGGTTAAGTGCTTTTTATACCCAGCAAGACCATACTCGTTACCAAGCAAGGACAAATTAAAATGTCGGCACTTCCTTAGAAACTATAGTTGGAAGAGACGGGGAAGATCTCAAAACCAGATTTGTTTTTTTAATCTCAATCGAAAGCTTTTTATCTTGCACTGTCAGCTTTAAGATCAAAATATAGCTTGTATCAAAACAATTGGATTATTGATGACTATATTTGTATCATGCATGTACAGTAAATAATACACAGAAGTGAAAACCAGTGGCTAAGTCCTATAACTCAAGATAATTTTCTTTCAATAAAACATATTGCAGATAGCAAATAGTTTGAAGCTGTTTGAATTCAAATCACCGAGTGCTCATAAAAAAGACAATGCCAACCAATAGTTAGTATGTCCTGAAGTTACTCACTGTTGATACTCATGTCCTTGGTCTCCTGGGTATCAAAGTTACACTTGGGGCAGGGAATGGGCTGTCCGCGCACATATTTGAAGCCCTTTCTCTTCACATGGTCATCACAGAAACAAACCTGCCACAAACCAATAATAACACATCTAAACCAGACCTCACTTGTAGAGCCTAGCATCTCCAGTTAACTGTTCAGATCAGGTTTTGTGTGGAGAATCTTGTATAACTTTCATTATTGATATGCAATTCACTATGCATGTATTAATACTTTTAAACAAATAATATACAACAGCAGCCATATTGGATGTCCAATTGCCAAATAATATCTATAATGAAGAGTTAGTTGGTCTAGGATTTGTACATGTACTTTTTAATAAACCAAGTCAGAGGTCTAAATAGACGACACATTGTCTTACTTGCTATATATATATGACAGTCCTCATTTCCAAGATATATCTGTCTGCATATCAAATTTGTGCCTCCTGGTGAAATAGTTCAATGATTGAAGCCATAGGCCAAAATATTGATCATGCCCAAAAATAATAGTGTAATGCTTTTGGGTTCCCTACTGACACTATTTTTTAGGCTACCCAGAAGTTTTTGAGCTATACAACCTATATATAATAATACAAAATGAAATGTAAGTATTCCCCTTCTTGCCAACCCGTAATATTTTAGAGGTGAACCATGAGCACACAATATATATGTTCAGGCTTCAGTGACCTACATTTAGTATGCAACACTCCATCATTCCAAGATGCACCTATTAACTCCAGTGGAATTAGAAGGCAATATGCTCTGAACCATTCATTTCAAGGATAGGGGTCAGAGGTCAAAATGCACAGTAACATACATTTGGTTTGTGACATCATTAAAATGGAGATTTAAAAAAATCTCACAATTCCAGTGGGAAAAGTGTAGGATACATGCTCTGTATGACCTTTTGGATTGAAGGTATGACGAAATATGGTAACACTCCAGGTGATCTAGTGCGTCTCCCCACCCCCTCTTTCTACTATGTAAACCTCAATCCTTGCAAACAAGTTCTTATAACAAATGGTAATAACACTCTACATCTTGGTTAATTTCAAAACCCACTTATTGTTTTTTGGACAGGAAAATAGTCGATTACCTTGCATCGCATACAGGAGAACTGGCCTAATCGATTGCAGGATGCACCTGTTCAAAGAAAATGTTCAATAACTGTCATTATTCGTTACTCATAATTATTTATCAATCACTCTACATCATGTACAAAATTTAACTTAAAACCTTAAATTTTCTGGTCACATATATTTACATATAACATGTACTAAGTTTTTTCTGATCATTTCACATTAAAATCACCAGCAAGTAGTGACAATGACTAATGGGCACACATTTAACTTTACATAGGAAATGTTTGACAAAAATCCAAAATGTTCAACACTTACATTTAAATGATTCTGTGTCGAGCTGCTGACAGCTGGCCTGATGCTCGAACTGGTCATCCTCACATAGAAATTTCATACAGTAGGAACACTTAAACACACGGCCACCTGTCAATCATACGGAAGGTCTTACCAGAACGCTGCTAAAGTGTTAACAAAATGAAACTTCAAATAACAAAAGAGGATTTTACTTTAATTCTGAAAACCACATTATATTAATAATTCTTTTAACTGCCTGTAACAAAAGGAAATCAATAACATTGCCGGTACCGTTGTAGGGACTACCTTACTTTTAACATCACAGTGCTGTTGCCAATGATTCTTCTATGGATGTTAGAAGGCATTGTTATAAATATACTCACCATGAGACCAGACTTCTCTCTGACATTCTGTACAAACGGCATCTTGGAGAGGACAGGTACATGCGTGGGTCGTCAGACACTTGCGTCCGTGACACACCCAAGCCTCACAGAAGTCACACACAGCACCCTGTAAAGTATGTACATGTATAAACCTGAAAAACATGTACAATATATATAGGAATACAGATTGAACTCTGAGAGTTAAGACAGGTTTGCAAAAGAAATGACAATGACAATATACATTTTGATGAAATATTTACAAGAAGCTCATGGAAACAATATTGATCACCTTTTTCTTTTATTTGAATTTGACAACATGTTCAAATTTGTCAATGCTCTTTGGGACCACAGTGGCCATATCTGAGATCTCATATTCACCAAAATGATTGAGACGTTCTTTGTAAGCTAGGACAATGACAGAAAGCAGAGTGGCAAATCAACATAAAACACAGCAGCACCTGTTGAGGACCCTCAGGGCTTTATTTACATAGAGTTTGGTAACTAATGGCTAGGTACAAGTTGAAAATGTCTTGCCAATCAGAGAATGGGAGACCATCTTCGTGAAATGGTTGTTTCTTTTGTTTTATTTGCTGATGGTTTAAGTATAAAGCAATCCTGTACAGGTGTTTATCCGACATCTCAGATCGAGCGTGTTTATTGAGCGTGTTTATTGTGGGTATGTTCACACAAGACTTGTCCGATCTGAAATGTCGTAGGAACATGTACATTGTATGGTATGATACAGGACAATATCCTCTACTTACCACCATGCCTAATCCAGTTGTAAACTGTCCAGAGTGTTTTATAACACAGTCACCCATCTTGGCCATACATTTCTGTTTCCCTGTGTTAATGTAAAGGCACATCTATGATTACAACAATACCAGTTCCCCTTCTGTTTGTAGCTACAATATCCCTTAAGCTTCTCGTTCTTCAATTATGTTGCCAAATTAATATATAAGAATATATTTATAGTTGGTACAACAATACTCCTTCTTTAAATTTACCTACAGTTATGTCAATAAATTTTACAATTACAAAAATACACTTTCTACCACTTCTTATCCCCATTCAGTTATCTCAATAAATTCCCCCAAGCCAGTAAACTTTCCAGTGCTAAAATAGCAAATAATGGCAGGTGTATTGAATACAGTTTAGTTGTTTCTTATATGTACTGACCAGAATTTTGTTTTTGAATGTCTTTGTAATGAAATTAATTGAAATTTGATTTTCTTTTATTAATAGAGCATATTTGCAGCAAAACTTTTACATTATGTTTCCAGTTACCTGTAATGGTTTTGTTTTGGGCAGAAACTTGCTTGATTGCTAAATTACAAATTTTCTTCTTAATACAACAATGTTGCCTTTTCAGGATTGTACTGAAGCTTCCCCAAGGCCTTGTAAAACATATGAATTTAAAAAGAACCATCCTGAGTTTAACAGCTCAAACAGTTTGCAGTGTGGGAACTTTGCAGGAGGAATTCTTCAGCAAAATTATTTTCATAGTATGTCAACATGTTTGGTTGTATATATATATTCTTGCCATTGGATGTTGTCAAAGTAGAATTAGCAAATATATCCAGACTGAAATTTCTACTCCTAATGTACCTTGTTCCATGTGAAACAGGGACCTGGGTTGTCAAATTAACAAAATAGAAGGACTGGACTGGGTAGTTACTGATCTTATCATAGATGACTAGTGATTTCAGTAATTTTCTGAAGAAAATTAATCCCTATCTATTGATTTGAAAATGGAAATGTTGTTGTTCTGACTAAATTAATACAAATCTTACCACATTGTGCACAGACAGGCAGTCTTTGTACGGCCGCACAGAAGTAACAGAAAGCACGGTTCTTTTGTATCCTGAAAAATTGTGGTAGTGAAAGGAGTTAACAAGGAAACGTAGACATTTCTGTGGTCTATCAACTTATCTAAGTGTATGCTGAAGAAAAATATAGATTTCATTTACAATTCTATCAAATTAAAAGTATTACAGGGCATATTAGCTCTGTAATTTACTAGGTAAACAAATATTCTTTGTACGTACATGTAGTTGAATCAAATCAAATCTCCTTAAAATGTTTGTTTTTGTTTCGTATTCATGGCCAAAGATGTTTTGAGTTACTTGTACTGTAATATATATATTATATGTACTATGTAAATGGAATTGTGGATGAGACAGTTTCTGATATTACACATGGTCAAATTTTTTTGTTTTGTTTTTTGAGAATCCGAGTCCTAGATTATCATTTCTACGAGCACCAATCACTGTCAGGAGTTCCAGGTTTTATGTTATATTGTATACTGCTATTACTTCCATCAAAATGAGTTAAAAACAACATTATTTAATCATCCTGATGATCCCCGCCCCTCCACTAACGTGCTGGCATGCTATCAGATTATATTTTAGTCATGATCAGTACTGGTGTCTCTCATGATCATGATAAAGAACCATTTTTAGGTAGATGTAACGGCGTAAAAGATGCATCGTCGAATCATAGGGAATGTTATTCCTCTATGATATACAAGGATTGGATATTACATTTTGACAATTTATGAAATAAACATTGAAAATTATTTGACCGACTTCCCACCAGATCCTTCCAAATCAATGTCACTGTACACGTGTTGTAATTATATACATGTAATGATGGTCACAGCCCTAATAAAAATGTTAATGAGATACATATTTTTTTTATCAAAATTCACTATTCAAGGTTTTATGTTAATGGGTTGAAATGACAGAACTTACCTTCTGCATTGGTCACATTCCTGTTTGAAATAAAGGAAACAAAATTGAACTTAATTGTCATCCTAAACATGTTCATTCTAAATATTGGTAAGCAAAAGAAAGAAATATTAATACTGTATTGAAATTATTCCAATGAAATCGGAAGTGAAAATAATATATGTGGCATTTAAAAAAAAAAATATAACCCTGCTTTTTAGGGAATAACAATTTTTAATATTTTAAACAGTATTTTTTGGTCACATCAATTGGAAACACAGATGATATAAATAATACAAGAGGCCCAGGGGGCCTTATCGCTTAGTTGGATACCAAAGCAATCATGGCAAAATATTCTCCAAATGATATCAAGGGAATATGCCAGATCCCAAGACCAATCCTTGTAGCATATCTGTATTAGATTTTTCATGCCCTGCAATTTTATGTATGGTTATGGGGTGGGGATCTCAACTGTTGCTAAGCTTTGACTCAGAAACTAGGTCCCTAGGGTTGTGGCCAGACCCTAGGATCAATTCTAATATCGTGACTGCATTTGTCTCTTTGCCCAGCATTTGTATATATATAGTTTTGGGGTGGGTGATCTCAACCGTTTCAAAGTTATGACCCAGGGGTTAAGTCTGCAAGGGTGGGACAGACCCTATAGCCATCCTGGAAGCAAATGTGCATTCTTCTCTTTATACTCAGCAATTGTATACCATGGTTATATGGTGGGGATCTCAACCATTTCCAAGTAATACACCTTTTTTGGCCCCACCCCTTAGCCCAGGGGGTCAGCCCCACCATTTGTAAAATTTTGAATCCCTGCCTCCCATGAATGCTTCCGACCAAATATGATCAATATCCAATGGCATAGTTCTACAGAAGGAGTCGTTTGTAGCAATATTACCAAATTGCCCCCTTTTGGCCCCGCCCCTCAGTCCCCTGGGGGGTCAGCCCAACCATTTGTACAATTTTTAACCCCCACCACTTAGGAATGCTTCCAGTCAAATAAGGGTGATATCCACTTCTTAGTTCCAGAGAAGAAGTCGCTTAAAGCAATATTGCCAAATTGACCCCTTTTTGCCCTGCCCCTCAGCCCCTGGGGGGTCAACCCCATCATTTGTACAATTTTGAATCCCCACCACCTAGGGATGCTTCCAGTCAAATTTAGTTGAATTCCAATCAGTGGTTAGAAGAAGAAGCCGTTTAAAGAATCTGTTGACGTACGTACGGACGACAGACACAACGGTATGGCATAAGCTCACCTTGGTCCTTCGGACCAGGTGAGCTAATAAAGCATATGGAAAACAGAGGCCATGGGGCCTTTATATCTCACCTGGAATTAATACAATTTTGCCAATATAAGAAATATAAGATGCAATAAAAACTAAATCCCCTGAGGCAGCAAGACACATGCAAGGACATGATGTTTTGTGTGTCCATGTCCAACAAATTTATTTAAGCATTGTAGCGCGCATTATGTTGTTTGCTTGCAAAGCTGTGTCATTCAAATAGATCATAAATACCATACAAAAACAGTTCAATACTTATATTTACACTTCTCTGCCTCTTATGTTCTTTTTAACTTATAATTTATATTTAAAATTAAAAATGCCCGCCTTATCGACAGTCCACACAATTTCGTTCAATAGTTTGAACAGCGCATTGTCGCGTGCTGATTGGCAAACAAAGTAGTACTTGAAATTTTAACAAACACTTCAATTTTATTCCACAATTCAGTAATTCAGGATGCATGGTAATTAAAGTCCCATCAACGACACAGCTTTCAAAGAGGCTTTATAGTGACAATACCATGCAAATGTAAATATATTAATATATATGGATACATCTCACTCTGTAATAGGGATCTCAACTGTTTCCAAGTTATAACCCAGACATTAAATACCTTGGGGTGGGACAGAACCCAAGGTGAATCATGGTAGCATAAGTGTATTTATTCTTTTCATGCCGAGCAATTGTATATAATGTGGTTATAGGTGGGGTTTAATTTTCAGCTCTTTCCAAGTTATTACCAAGTAAGTAAGTATGAAGGGGTACACAATTGATACAAATATAAACAACATAGCACTTGTAGTAGGTAAGATATAGATGAGAGCTTCTTAACCTTACATGAAGCAAAGAGCAATTCTTCTTAACCTAGTCAATGAATTATAAAATATTGGTCAAAATCAGCATCCCCAACATGTACACAATTGATAAGTTGGGCACACCTATTGGTAGAATTAATGTCATTAAATCTTTATTAATTTCTCAGATGAATCATCTGTTCATTTCCTTACCTAATCCATCTGAAAAATTTATAAAACAGCTCAATTCTGTTCTTTTCAATTTTTTATGGAATAGCAAAACTGATAAGATTAAACGGGACATAATAATCCAAAATTATCAAGAAGGTGGGCTAAAAATGGTTAATTTAATGTCTTTTATTGAAGCTCTGAAAATAAGTTGGATAAGAAGGTTTTTTAGATCAGAAGGTAAATGGGTAAGCATTTTAAAATCTTGTGTAAATCCTCATATCTTGGCTAACTCAGGAAACGAGTACCTTAATAAAGTTCAAGGAAATTGCAAAAATGTGTTTTGGAAAGATGTGTTTAGGGCATGGTATAAATTAAGAGCAAAAGAGGAGCTGTTTAAAAATGAGAATTTTGCCCTACTTAAGACACCCTTATGGTATAACAAAAATATTTCTGTTGGTAATAAAGTTGTTTTTTATAGTAAGTGGTTTAAAAACGGGATTATGATAATTAATGATTTGTTGAAAAACAACACAGACTACTCTTTCTTGTCTTTTAAGGAATTTTGTGATCTACATGGTACAATAACTAATTATCTAGAATATCATGGCTTGATAACAAGCATAAAGAATTATCTGAAACAACTTAATTTGCCAAACAAAAATGTGATATACCCAATTATACCGTTACATCTTGTAATAATTTTAAAGAAGAAAAAAGGTTCTCAAGACTTCTATAATATACTTATCAGAAATAATGCATCAATAACTGCTCAAACAAAATGGGGAACTATATTCGACTATAATCAGGAAACTTGGGGGAAAATATATGCTATTCCTTTCAGGGTTACAAAAAATACAAAATTGCAATGGTTGCAATTTAGAATTAATCATTATATTTTAACAACCAATTCTTATTTATGCAAAATTGGACTTGTAAATAACCCACACTGTGTTTTTTGTATCATAGAAAGGGAGACAATTACCCACGTTTTATGGGAATGCAGGGAAGTACAAAAATTTCTGAGCAATTTTGAAAGTCTTTTAAGTGCTCTCACTATTCCTTTCTCACTAAATAAAGAATCAATGATCTTTGGTTTTATCAACCAAACTGGAATTTATACCAGAATTGATAATGAAATTACTCTGTTCATTAAACAATATATATACAAAACCAGATGTTTTCATAAGTCACTTAATGTGACGGCTTTAGTCAATTCGATTAAAGATTACTATAAGGTTCAGAAATATATTGCTCGTGGTAAAGGGGAACAAGGCCTTAGAAGATTTACTTCTGAATGGGAAAAATGGTTAAAATTAGTAGAGCTTGACCTCAACTAACCCTGAATATTATGACTATTTATATTAAGTTATTAGTTGTTATTCTACTTAAAAAAAACAAAATATTGACAAATACTCACAGCAGTTATTTATTTTATTTAGTATCTTCTCAGATTTGGCAGTCTGATCTCTCTCTCTCTCTCTCTCTCTCTCTCTCTCTCTCTCTCTCTCTCTCTCTCTCTCTCTCTCTCTTTGTTTTGTCTATTCTATGTGTGAAAGTGTGTGAAAATTGAATGTGTCTTGGTGATTGTATAAAATCAGCATCAGATGATGAGGATGATGAGGAGGATGAGGTTGCTGATAATTTCAATAGTAGATATGTGTGAATGTGTGGATATGTGTTGATGTGATGTTCTGTATAATGTACATGTTCTGAAAATCTTTGAAAATAAAAAAATTAAATAAAAAAACAAAAAAAGTTGGGCACAACGGCACATATGAGTAATCATCCTGCATTTGGTAAAAACTTAAGTTACCCATTGAGTAACAATTTTATTGTAATAGGACATCTGTGGTGTGAGCCTGCCCAGCATTGGAAGATGAAAGTGATCATATAGTAAATTAGGTTTTCCCAACAAACTGAAAAACTGACCAGTAGCAACCCCCAAGAATTTCCTGCTATATCCGTCTGTACAGTAAGACACAGTTTCGTCAGATGTGGAGGAGTATCCAAGTTATAAACCAATCAACACCTTGTTTCAAAGTTAACTATCCTTTATTTACTATCACACGACCAAGCTAGCCATTGAAACATGGCAAACAATACTACATGTACATTAATTAACAGTATACAGTATAAAAGACAACAAAACCTACAGCGTAGAGAAAAGAATGTATGTTTAGTAAACCTATATATATTAGCCCCCACATGGTAAAATAAGGCCTATAGGTAATGGTAACTGTTCTATAACTATAACGGTGAAAACCACCCTTTCCTGGAACACTGGCATATGTTAAGCTAACCAGTCTTTTCCTAACCCTAATGTTTCCTAACGTGGGTGTACTGCTTTAATTATATAAGCTTTCAATACATCAGTAGCACTGTTTTCACCTCCTGAGTGGAGGGGTTTTACCCATCCTGGTATAGCCAGCTTTCCGGCCACGGAAGTCCCCAATTTTGGCCATGCATCGATCCCTATATACCATAGCCTTTGGCCCTAAATCTGGTCTTCTCAAAAGTTAACACCCATGTAAGCAAATAGACTGCACCAGTGATAGTCGCTACATACGCCGATAGAATAGCTGTACCACACCTTGACATACACTCGGATGGCAATAAAAGGATACATATGGAAAAAAACACTTCGGCTAGCAGCCTGTTTTCCCACATTATTACTGAAATGGGGAATAAAGTGAAATAAAACACACAAAGTTTTTTTAAACACATGGAGAAAAAAGGGCGTTATTCTTTCGACTTAACCCAATAAATAACACAATGAAGTACATTTGTGCACAAAAAACTATCAATTCTGATGTCTAACTTTTTGTGCCCAACCTGATTGATGCAAGCAATCAGCGCGATATCCAATAGGACGTTGCGTATAGCCGGGTGCCTCTAGATCTGTAGCCGTGATCGCTCACGTGCATGTAGTCATTTTACTACTATGTGCGCTCTCTCTCATGAAGTTTGGTTCAATCTACAGCGGTGGTGGGAAAAAGAGCGATGTCTGATAGGGTTAGTTGTTATCCCTCCGATGGCACAGTGGTTTTCCCCCGTAGGTTTTTTTTTTTTTTTTATTGTTATCGGACCATAGTATCGATAACAATAAAAAAAAAATCGGACATAGAAGCTACGGTTCCCGCAGCTAGTTTTACTCCACCACGAAAACATCATTTGTTCCCTTAGCAGCATCTTAATAAAAGCTCTTCAGAGCTTATGCTTGTTGTTGACAATTGTACGCGACGTTTAATAAAGATTGTTATTTTATTATTATTGATTACTGACCAGAGTCAAATCAACATTGCACTTGTAAAGATATCAGATGAGAGCGATTTTTCTTAACCAGGTGCATGGACGGACGAAACATACTTCTATGTCCGCGCCAACTCGTTGAGAGGGGGGTAAAAAATTAGGCCTGGAAAAGGAACCGTACGGTATAATATTAAATCTCACCATCACAAAATTACATGGCCTTTCTGGAAGGGGCTTTTCTGTGTTACCAGATCGGATTCCTTTCTGTCTCTCCTTTTGCTTATCTGCCTTTTTACGTTGCCCTGTTTTCTTCTTCGGCATTTTGAATTTAGTGTTCTCTTTCACTTAACTTCAGTCAGACAGATTAAGAAATAACTTTCATATCGACAAACAGCAAATCCGTGACATGTGTCCGAAATAACCGGAAGCGATCACTGCTTAGTTCCGCCCCAACAGAGCATGCGCTAATCTTAAACCCCCCCCATGCAGGAAGTGGACGAAAATGAATGAAACACAAAACGTCAATATCGCTACTTTGTGATTGTCATTGAGAATCTGAGACTGATTTATTGCTGCGATGGGGCTGGAGCCTCTCGAATTTGCAGAATGTTTAACAGACAGTCCATTCTTCCGTGAAAAACTACATGATCACGAGAAGGAATTGGAGCGTACGAGTAAAGCCATCAAGCTACTGATAAACGATGGGAATAACCTTCTGCATGTCGCCAAAAGTAAGTACACATCGGATTACGGTTATCTCAGAACTCGGGTTAATGTCGCGCTTTTTTGTTTGTCTTTCGTGAATTGGAGGTGCGTGTAAATAAATGCGAAGCGCCACTATCTTGTGTAAACGCCCACTGTGTACATGAAGTCGGAGCGGGTACCGGCCGCTGTCAATGTGAGGGAATCGGAGATGGCAATGATGTGATTCGTTACAAAGTCTGCTCATCGTTTTAGATAACTTAATTGTTATTTACCTTTCAACTAGCTCAACTGAGCTTTTCAGCAGAACTAAAACTATTTAAATCAATGCAGATCACGGACATTTATGTATTAATATTTTCAAATAAATTTGATATAGTGTCTGCATGTAGCTCTGTAACAGCTAGGTTTCAATGAAATACTTAAATGACAAAGATACCATTTGGAAGTTTATCTGTAAGTTTTTTCCAGTACATAATTAGACATTGCCAATTTTCGTTTAAATTTTATCAGTCATATATGTACATTGAAACTATTGACATAAATATGTATATATATATGTATATATGTAATTATGTATATTTCTGAAAATATAAATTCAGTTAAATTGGAAAGTTACTCTAGAAAGCTTTTGTTTAAGTGGTTTTACGTCTGCTTCACTACCGAGTAAAGTTTGGTTATCCAGCAGATGATACTACTCTAAAACCTAGATTTGTCATTCAAGTCATATTATTACAAATAAATATTGTATGATGACTGCAATAATTCAACAAATTGGAGAAGATTTAACATTTTGCTATCAGGTAGGTTGTTATCCTACTAATGTGTCAGTGATTTTATCTCTCAAGTCTACAACTATGACATTTACACTTTACAGTAGTGCAGCAGTGACATTTGTAATTTTGTACACAAGAGCACAGTGTGCTCTAGCTGTATAGCTAGGTGAAAAATACATCAAGCAAACATTTCACTTTTGGATAATTTACACCTTTTATGTTTTTTTTTCTGGCATCAGATTAATGTTTATATAAGTGGAGAAACTAAGTGACTCTATATTACCTGTTATTACGTAACCCACTTATAACTGGCATAAATTATGTGGTGGAGGATTAATTGGCAATATGATACACACAAGTGTAAGATAATACAATACACATGCAGCTTGAAAATGGAATGATCATGATCAGATCATATATAATATATAATAATTAACATCATATAATGTAGATGTTTAAGTTTTAGTTGTCCTGTTAATATGTATAAAAACCATTATGTGATAAATTAAATATACTTAATATAGAACGAATCCTACATTTACATTATCATTCACTGAGTCAGAACTTCAATGAATATCTAATTAGCATACAGTTTGTATTTATATTATACAACATGGACAAAAGGCCCAGTGTTTTTCTAGTAATATAAACTATTTTAATAGAGAAAAGGCCAAGTCAGAAGTCTTACTGTCTGTTTCAAACTATATTTATTAAAAAATCATCTTTGTAAAACTACATAATTAATTAGCCATTTTAGTATGGTCATCATGCACTTCAAGGTTTCGACAGCTGAAAAATATCAGAAAAACATGTATGTATATGTTTTGAAAAAAAATCTTGTCAGAAACAAATTCAATCATACATGTATGCATTTATAAACCAAATCCTATTGTTTATGTGTGAACATTGAAGATTTCCATTGTCTTGTTTGTCTTAATGACCTGTTTAGATGTTCTAGTAAAAGTTGTTGTGTAGCTATACATACCAGAGGTCTAAGACAGTACATGTATAAGGACTATGTATTAAACACAGACCGGTGGTACATTATTTACTATAGAAACATCAACATGCTGTCGGTGAATACTTCACACTGCCAAAGATCAGTCAGTTTTGATTTGAATAAAAACAGATGTGTAAACATAAAGTTTTGTCTGGTATTTGTAAGCTATACAACAATATATTTCCACTTTGCTGTCCGTTTTCTTTTGACTGTACATACATACTACACTGAGGTCCGTAACTTAACAGGTAAAACTGCAGTATCATTGGAGTGCCCAGGTATTAATTGTGCACGAGTGCATTCCTTTTAATTCAATGGTCTGTCTTTATGACAAAACACTGCAGCCGGTAGATAAATATTCTGTGTATTCAGTGATTTTATTTTGCTCAGTTTTGCTGCCGAATATAGACTGTTTCTACTCGGAAAAAAGTGCCGTATTTTCCCAAAGTGACCAAAAACTGAGGAATATATTCCCAAATTCAATACAAATAATGCTATATTTTCCCAATTCATAAAGGAACAGGCTGTTGTAAAATTTAGGTAACAAAAACGCTGGTATTAATAAGTCCTGTTCCATTTAAGCAATGATAATTTATTTTACCTCCAATTATGACTAATCACTATTGTCTACAAATCGCAACAGACCAGAAAACTGATTAAGTAAACAATCATACGTTTTATTATAAACTGCATTCTGACAACATTTCTGCCTACAGTATCTAGATATTTAAAAAGTAGCCTCCACATTTTACCCATTTTGGTGAATGTTTCTCTATTTATTTTTTCCTCATTTATGATCCATCATCAATAATTTAAGAAATATCATTAATTTGTATTAACGATTAATCATGAATTTTGAATTGATTCAAATTCCCAGCACTATATATCATCCAATGGTTTTGTCTTCCAGACCTTTACATTTTGTATTTAAGGATAAATGATATGGTACATTTATGCTATATACAAAAATGTACATTACAGCTGACTGCTTTAGATTTCAGCTGACAAATGCAATTTTGTATCAAGGAATTGAATTATCACATACAGTGTACGTTCCTTTGGGGCACCATTATTGTCAGTTTCCTCATATTTTATATGCATGCTCACATTTATATCACCGATAGCAGGTTGCATTAATCATCTTTGTGGGTTCGAAGCAGACCAGTGTCTTTGGTAAAATACATCAGTTTCAGTGTCATAGTTCGTTGTGCTTAGTTTGATCTTGATTGATAAGAATCATGACCAAATTATTTCTTTGTACATGTACACTACAGATGAGCCGAGACATTCTCTGTACAGTGTACACTACAGATGAGCCGAGACATTCTCTGTACAGTGCACACTACAGATGAGCCAATACATTCTCTGTACAGTGTACACTACAGATGAGCCGAGACATTCTCTGTACAGTGTACACTACAGATGAGCAGAGACATTCTCTGTTCATGTACACTACAGATGAGCCGAGACATTCTCTGTACAGTGTACATTACAGATGAGCCGAGACATTCTCAGTACATGTACACTACAGATGAGCAGAGACATTCTCTGTACAGTGTACCCTACAGATAAGCCGAGACATTCTCTGTACATGTACATTACAGATGAGCCGAGACATTCTCTGAACATGTACACTACAGATGAGCCGAGACATTCTCTGTAAATGTACACTACAGATGAGCCGAGACATTCTCTGTACATGTACCCTACAGATGAGCCGAGACATTCTCTGTACATGCACCCTACAGATGAGCCGAGACATTCTATGTACAGTGTACACTACAGATGAGCAGAGACATTCTCTGTTCATGTACACTACAGATGAGCCGAGACATTCTATGTACAGTGTACACTACAGATGAGCAGAGACATTCTCTGTTCATGTACACTACAGATGAGCCGAGCCATTCTCTGTACATGTACACTACAGAGGAGCCGAGACATTCACTGAACAGTCTACACTATAGATGAGCCGAGACATTCTCTGTACAATGTACACTACAGATGAGCCGAGACATTCTCTGAACAGTCTACACTATAGATGAGCCGAGACATTCTCTGTACATGTACACTACAGATGAGCCTAGACATTCTCTGTAAATGTACACTACAGATGAGCCGAGACCTGCTTTGTACATGTACACTACAGATGAGCCTAGACATTCTCTGTAAATGTACACTACAGATGAGCCGAGACCTGCTTTGTACATGTACACTACAGATGAGCCTAGACATTCTCTGTAAATGTACACTACAGATGAGGCGAGACATTCTCTGTACTGTGTACACTACAGATGAGCCGAGACATTTTTTGTACATGTACACTACAGATGAGCCGCTGTACATGTACACTACAGATGAGCCGATACATTCTCTGTACATGTACACTACAGGTGAGCCGAGACATTCTCTGTACAGTCTACACTACAGATGAGCCGAGACATTCACTGTACATGTACACTACAGATGAGCGGAGACATTCTCTGAACAGTCTACACTATAGATGAGCCTAGACATTCTCTGTACATGTACACTACAGGTGAGCCGAGACATTCTCTGTACAGTGTAAACTACAGAAGAGACGAGACATTCTCTGTACAATGTACATTATAGATGAGCTGAGACATTCTCTGTACATGTACCCTACAGATGAGCCGAGACATTCTCTGAACGGTCTACACTATAGATGAGCCGAGACGTTCTCTGTACATGTACACTACAGATGAGCCGAGACATTCTCTGTACAATGTACACTATAGATGAGCTGAGACATTCTCTGTACATGTACACTACAGATGAGGCGAGACATTCTCTGTACAGTGTACACTACAGATGAGCCGAGACATTCTCTGTACATGTACACTACAGATGAGCCGAGACATTCCCTGTACATGTACACTACAGATGAGCCGAGACATTCTTTGTACATGTACACTACAGATGAGCCGAGACATTCTCTGTACATGTACACTACAGATGAGCCGAGACATTTTCTGTACAGTCTACATTACAGATGAGCCGAGACATTCTCTGTACATGTACACTACAGATGAGCC